CAAAAACATTCTAAAGGCATAACAATAAGCTAATAATTTAGCTTCAATTGCATATAAAAACATTGCATTCTACTTTACAGGTCCTCCAGCCACTTTAGGTTATTGAAGTCACAAATTATATCTATGCATTGTGTAACCAGCAAGATGGATTTTTATGATTTATGCTTTCATCTTCTAAATCCTGTAAAAGAAAAAAATAGATTTACCAAACAAAATGAAAAAATGTGGGTTGTATATTTGTCCACATTTTTACCTTTACCTTTACTAAATATATTTTATGGTCTAGCATCTTTTCATTTCAGCTTGAAGGACCTCCTTTAGCATTTCTTTCATGGTAGGTGTAATGGTAATGCTCTCTTGTCAGTTTTATTTATCTGGGAATATCTTAATTTCTCCCTCATTTCTGAAGGACAGTTTTATCGGATATGGTATTTTCAGATGTCAGTTTTTCTCTCAGCATTTTAAATATGTCTCCACTGTCTTCTGGCCTTTAATGTTCCTGCTGAGAAACCCACTGATTGCCATATTGAGGATCCCCTTTACAACACAAATCACTTTTCCACTTTCAAGATTCTTTGTCTGTCTTTGACTTTCCACAGTTTGATTATATTATGCACAGTAGGGGAAACTTTGGGTTTTTCCTAAATGGAGTGTTCATTGAGCTTCTTGGATTTGTAGACCCATCTTTTCTCAAACTTGGGGATTTTTCGGCCATTATTTTTCCAGATAAGCTCCCTTCCCCTGTCTCTCTTGACCTTCTAGGACTCGAGGTAGGGCATGTATTTGTCTACTGGATGGTGTCCCATAGGCAATTTTCACTTTTCTGTGTTCTATTTTCTTTTTGCTTTTTAGACTCAATAATTTCTAACAATCTGACTTCAAGTTCACTGATTCCTTTGTTTTTTTCAGTCTGCTGTTGAACCCCTCTAGAGAATTCTTCAATTCAGTTATTGCATTTTTAACCTCCAGAATTTTGATTAGGTTCCTTTTTAATAATTTCTATCTCTTTATTGATATTCTCATTTGTTCCTATTGTTCACCTTATTTCATTTAATTGTCTGCCTATGTTCTCTTTGATCATATTTAAGACAGTTGTTTTAAAGGGTTTGTCACATAAGTTCCAAGCCTCTGTTTCTTTAGGGTCAGTTTCTAGAGATTTATTTTGTTCCTGCGAATGGACCGTGTTTCCCCATTTCTCTATATTGTGCCTTGTGATATTTTGTTGAATTTGGTGCATTTGAAAAAAGCAATCAACTTTCCCAGTCTTTATAGACTGGCTCCACCACACAGTCAGTTGTAAAGGCTCCTAGTCCTTTCAGGCCTCTTCTAGTGATGCGTCTTTCCCAGGCCCTTGTGTGCACTTGCTTTTCCATCTCCCCATTTACAAAGCTGCTTCTAAATGTCTTCATTTCCCTAAGAGTCTCCTACTTGTCTTCACAACCTTAGATGTTCTACTGTATTCTACCCATTCTCTCTTTCCCCCAGGCACCCCTGCAGCTCTCTTATGCCTCTTCTCCGGCCGCCGCCTTCTGTGGCCTCCATCCTGATGGCCCAGCTATGCCGCTGTTCCCATTAGCACTCCATTCCTTTACGTTTTCTGTAATGCCTTTGAGTAAAGTTTTATAATTTTCAGCCTGTAGGCCATGTGCATCCTTTGTTAGATTTATTCTTGGGTATCTTACAATTGTGTCTATTCTAAATGACAGTATTGGTTTTTTATGTTTCCTAATTATTCACTGCCACTCTATAAATGCATTAGACTTTAGTATATGAGTCACCAGTCATCTTCGTACACATTCTACACATGCTGTTTTTATTAATTTGTCAAATCGTTTTGTTTTCTATATGAAGTCAACAATCAAATCATCTCAAATAATCATTTTATTACCTATTTTTCAATTCTAATGCCTTTTTTCATAATATTGAAATCTATTAATACACGAAATTACAAGTTTTCTAATAATAATTCTCTTTGCTTTCCTCGATAAACCCAATTTGGTCACAGTTATTACCTTTTTCTTGTTAACTGTTAGAATTGATTACCAGTAATTTGTAGAGGATTTACACATCTGATGTCATGAACAGAATTGGCCTGGGATCTTCCATTCTCATTCTGTCCATGTCTGATTTTAGAAACAAGGTTATTTTGTCCACAGAATGTGGGGGGGATAGTTCCTTCTTTTTCTTTTTTTAACCTCTAAGCTTGTATAAGACTGGGAAAATCTGTTCTTTAGGAGTTTCTTAAACATCAGTTTTTAAAACTGGTATATATAATGTTTTCTTCATGGTAAGATTTAACCATATTTTCTATTTCTGAGTCAGTTTAGATAAATTACATGTTTCTAGGAATTAGTCCATTTTCTCTCAATGTTCAAATTATTGGCATAAAGTTGTTGATAGTACTCATATCTTTTTAACTCTTCTATATCTGTAGTTATATCTCTTTTTTATTCCATTTTTTAATACCGTTTCTTTGAGTTTTCTTCCTTTCTTGATTAATCTTCTAAGAACTTTGTCTTTCTAGTCATTTCAAAAACATGACTTTTGTCTTCATTTGTCATCTTTATTTTATATTTTATTTTCAAGTTCATTGATTTTTTTTTTAATTCTATACTGTCATCTTCCTTCTGCTGTTTAAAAATGTTTTACCTAATGTCTTTTTCTTTTTCTTTTTTTTCTTTCTGATGCCTTAGGTTGGACTCTTGGGTCATTCATTGTCATTCTTTTGGATTCTCTAATATAAGCTGTTTTATGTTTGCAAGTTTCCCTATAAAAGCCCCACTTTTGCTGCATCCCACCAGTTTTGCAATGTTGAGTGTTTTTATTACCATCCACTTTTAAGTCATTTAAAAAATGTCAGTTAGCTAAAATTAATTAATTAACTAGATTAATTTTTTTGACCCATGAGTTTTACTCAGTTGTGTTTTAATCAGAGAAAATGATGTATATCAAGAGTTGGTGAACTTTTTCTGTAAAAGACCAGAGAGTAAGCATTTCAGGCTTCGCAAACCCCTAGGATCTCTGTTGCAGCTACTGACCTCTGCTATTTTAGTATGACATATAAACAAATAGGAAGGTTTGGGTGCATTTTGATGGAATTACTTACAAAAAATAGATGGTAGGCTGGGTTGGGCTATGCCAAGCCTGCAAGCCTACGTGATACCTGTTATTTTGTTGAAGTTGGCTTTTAGAGCAATTTTTCATGTTTCCAAGTGTGCCAAAGAAAAATGTATGTTCTCTAATTGTGGGTGCCTCATTCTGTATGTGTCCTTTAGGTCACATTTACTAAATGTTCAGTTTGGCTTACCTGAATCTGCACATTTTGGCCTTTCTGACCCATTACTAATTTGATGTGTATTAAAACCTACATGTGGAAGTTGTTTTGTCCTTCTCTTTTAACTCTGTCCCCAGTGATGTTTTTGGTCTCACAGGCTACTTTGTCTCATAATTGTAAAATACGAGCTTTCTTCTTTTTATTATTTACTAACATCTTACAACTCCACCTTTACCTGCGTCCTTTCTGTATCCATGCTTATGTGTTTTTTACTGACGTCACGTGGCTGGTTTTATCTAATCTGACAAGATATTATTTCATCACCAAGTTCAAACCATGTACATTTTTTGTTTTTTTTTTAAACCAACATAAACTTTAGCCAGAGAGTCAGTCATTTTGCTCTCCAGACCTCTTTTAGCATCACCTGGATTGACCTCTTCATACGTTAACTATTTCCTCCAAGACATCTTCAGGGTGGATGTGTCCTGTGGCAAACCTTCTGAGTCTTGCAAGCTAAGAAATCTTTTTATTACACCCTATTATATGAATAACTGTTTGGCTGGGTAAGAAAGCCTAGGTTATGAGGTTTTTCCAGTATATTAAAAATAGTACTTCATTGTGAATCTTGGTATCTCTGCCTTTATACGTGATAAGCTCCATCTTACTTGATCAGCACTCAGTGGAGCCTTTGAACCTAAGGCCATTCATTTTTCTTTAATTATGTGAAGTCTGCCTGTATTCTTCCTTTAAATATCTCCTTTTCTCTTCTTTCCGTCCCTCCCAAGGGGTTCCTTGCGTAGCTGTCAGGCCCGTCTCCTGCCCCCCTTCTGCCTTTCTCTCTCCTTCGGCTCCCTCTGCACGCCTCCCTCCCTGCCCGCGCATGGGCTGCCCCTCCGGCCAGCTTCACTCCTCCTTGGTCTTCAGCAGTGTCCGTTCTGCTGATCCATCCCCTTCAGCCACTTAATATCTCAGATGTCTCCACATGCTCGCACTTAACATCTGTCCTTGGTTCTTTTCTGGAATTCCTTATCTTGTTTCCACTCCTGTTTTACATCCTGGGCCTTCTCTTCCAGTGTTCAGTCTTGTCTGGTGGCAGTTTTCCCTTTGCCGCAGCTGTGCTCCTTGGGTCTGTGCATTAGAGACCTCACCTGGCAGGGCATGTTGCAGAGGGGCCCAGGCAGACATGATGCCAGTGCACCTAGGCTTGAAGGAAGCATGGGCAGGAGCCAGGGGCAGAGGCCCCGGGGTTGTAAAACCAAGTCTGGTAACTACCCCCAGGCACCTCCTCACCCCTGGCATGACGTCAGGTCCCTGGAGAGCATCAGCGAAGGAACAGCTCCACCCAGATAGCCCACCTGTAACCTTTACCCTGATATGCTATTTCCATCCTGTTTTGGAGGCCAAGCTACTGTGGCTGCTGACCAGTGCATTCCTAGGCCAGCCGCGACTGTACCAGCAGACTCAGGGGGGCCAGAGGAGCAGAACCTGCCCCGGTTTTCTCTGCCACATCCTTGCACTGTGTCCCTCCCTGTACCCTACCACTCCACCCATTGTGCCCCAACTCCACCTTCTGGCTGGCCCTGGGCATCCCAGGATGCAGAGAAATTGTTCTCCATCTGTGGCTTCTGCAAGGATGCCCAGGGGTCAATGGCTAGGCCAGGGAAGCCCCCAGCCATCTAGGTCTCTTCATGACACGTGCACTCAGCTGCCACTCCTTTGTTCACAGGGTCTGCGGAAGAGGGAGCTGCTGAAGGAGCTGCTGCCGGTCATTGGGCAGAATCTCCGCTTCCAGCGCCTCTTCACCGAGTGTCAGGAACAGCTTGACATCCTGAGGGACAAGTAGCCTGCTGAGGTCTGCCCTGGCTGCAGCAAGGGCAGGGCCATGCCCTCACCACTGGCAACGTGCAGGGCCTCCTCTCACCTCATCTGCAAGTCACAGCAAGACGAGGAGACACTGGCAGGAGGTGGGCAGTCCAGCACCAGTGCTGGCCCCGCTTCCTGGGCCGACTTCCCCTGTGTCCTGGGCCTGGTGCTCCCTCAGAAGGGGGCACCTCTGCCCGCAATTCACCCCTCCCTCCAGGAACCCCATGTGGAGCTGGGGCTGGCACCCTGCCCTGCTGCCCCGGGGTCAGTGAGGCACTCCCGGGCCTGCCGTGACGAGCACGGTCCCAAGGTGGACACTAACTAGCCTCTGCCACTGCAGGTGCCGTGCTGCTTCAGCTATGACAAATGAGCCATTTGTGAAAGAGAGAACCCTGAAACGTAGTGTATTATGCAGTCAGGAGACTGACTCAAGACCTTTGTAAAAGGAAAGGCTATTCCGACACACAGACTATTTTTGTACTAGAATTTGCTAACTTGTAATATGGAATTTTCTTTTTGGTCAATAATCAGGATTTCCCTATAAGTCACTTGGACATTGGTCACTTGTAGGAAATTTAAACTCTAATTATGACAGCTACATTGAAACATAATTGTACTGAAATTAACTTGTCTATCTTCATTTGGTTTTAATTTTTAAATGTTTGTAAAAAGAGTCTTTTTTGGGGGACGGGGCAGGGGGTGGGTGATTTCTTTTGTAAGTGTAAAATAAATGAACACACGTTGGATACCAAATCACCCTGGCTGCCCCTGCCTTTTCCTTCTAACTGCACCTTCCTCCTGCAATGGTGGATCCCCCTCCTGAAATGGGCCGTGAAAGAAGATCGGAACCAGAAGGGGTCTTTGACGTCATCTAATATCCCTGGCATCTCCACACAGAAATTCTCTTCACAATGTGGAGGCCACTTCCCTGGACGTGTAGGATCTCGGGCTGCACTGGGACCAGCAGGCAGGCCACCTGGCGTGTGTCTTTTCCCAAGCCAGGCATCGAGGTCCTGGGTTCCGGCTGCCCGGATCCCCAGGTCCTGATCATGCTCAGCACCAAGGGCTGCAGCTGACTTGCCAGTTTCACGGAAGGAAATCAATAGGTAAAGATGTGAGTTTTCTGAAGAATTATCTAGGAGCCTGCATTTCTTACCACAAGAGAAGAGATAACTACAATCACAGAATCTTCAAGCGTGGTGAGGGCTGAGCATCTTCACCGCTGGGTCCTAGACCTCTCTGTTGCCTCCCTGCCAGCCGTGTGGGACCCTGAGTCTGGGGAAGGAGGCCTGGACTTGGAATTGGGACATCTGGGTGACTCTGGCCACTGACATCCCTCTATGGCTGCTGCTTTGCCTAATGGCCATTTTAGCTTCCTGTCTGTTTAATGTCAAATGCCTGGATAAGATCCGGGCACACCTAAGTGCCAGACAAGCCAACGCATGGAGTGCATGTGGGCATGGATGCCTCAAAAGCCAAGCTGTAGTGTGAGCTTTTCTTTAAGGAATGAGGAACCAGAGATACTGTGCAAGTCAGGCAGTTACCCTGGCAACCCTGCAGAGCGGCATTGAGAACCTGGGGAGCAGCAGCGAACAGCCTCAGGACTGACAGAGCTGTCTTATGTCTAAACCAGCACAAATCTGGGCTTCGCTGTCAAATGGAAATGAGGTTAAGAAAACCTGTGTGGCTGTGAGGACTGACAGGTCGTGTAAGCAAAGTCCTGGCTCATAGCCAATGCTTCCTTGAAGAAAACTCTCAACAACCAGTGTTTTTACTATTTGGACAGGAGAGGAAGACAAAAAGCAAAAAGACTGTTCAGGGACTTCATACTTCCAGCCAACATGGGATCACAGGGAGCAAACTGACCCCCTTGCCGAACAGCCAGAGGGACCAATCAGAATACATGAAGCAGAGGTCTCAAGACATCGCATGTCAGAAAATAAAGGACAGTGATCCCCGGGAGATGGAACACAAACAAGATGAGCCCTGTGACTGCCCCAGCGTGCTACTGCAGAGAGAGCTTCTAGGCTGCAGCAAAGAGGGGAGAAGCTGTGGCAGAGCCCAGCACACTGGTGTTGCAGGAATGAATCTGAGGAGCCGGGAGAGCAAGACAGCTGGAGTTCACAGGACGAAGTAGCAGAAAGAAGAGCCCTCCAAGGAGAGAGGCTCTTGGAGGCCCTGCAGAGGGGACACCTTTGTATGTTCTACTAAGTACTGATAAGTACATGCATATGAGGAAACGAGCAAGATTGGACCACAAACCGTATGAAAAGATTAAAGTGAAAATTGCCCAGTTATCACCCAGGGATAGGAATAGTGCCTATTCCCACCAAACAGACTAGAGAAGCTTGTAACACGAAGATCTGGGGAAGAGCACCCAGGAAGTGTTGCCTCAGTACCGGAGAGTAGTTAGAGCGCTGTTCCAGATCCATCTAGCAAAAATGAAAAGCAAGACCTGAGAGGATTAAACTGTTTCCAAGTAATTAATTTCACTGCAAACCAAAGTTCAAGAGGATTTAAAAGAATACAAAAGTATGCAACATCCCATGTTTGGCATCCAAACAAAAGATTACCAGGCATACAAAGAAGCAGGAACATGATCCAAAATGAGGAACAACCGATCTTGACTGATCAATCAGAACTGACCCAGAATTTACACAGATATTAGAGTTGGCAGAGAAGAACATTAAAATAGTTGTAACACTACCTTTCATGTTCAAAAGTGGCTACATAGAAGACCGTAACAAGAAAGTCACATCAAATTTCTAGAGGTGGGAACTATAACATGGAGATGAAAACATGCAAAGGGGAATAGGATGAATGGCAGATTAGACACTGCAGAAGAAAAGATTAGTGAACTTGAAGGCATAGAAATAAAAATATCCCAAAACAAAAAAAAAAAAAATCCACAAGAGAAAAGAAAAGAAAATAGCATCAGTAAGCCACAGGACAACATCGAATGGCCTAATATGCAAGTAATTGAAATCTTCAAAGAAGAGGTAAGAGAAGCGGATGAAAAAAATATTTGGATATAATAATGGCTGAAAACTTGCCCTATCCCTTCCCACTTCCTTGTGCCCCTGCAAATGCCCACTGTTTCCTCCTTACCCTTACCCCTCATGCCCATGCCTGCTAACCTCACTACCCCTGTCCACTGATGCCCCACACCTTTTCACTACCCTTGCCCACAAACCTTGTTTGCAAGCAGAACATGGGGACCTGTGTCTTCCTGGGTTGGGACTCCCTGCCTCTTCTAAACGTTCTGACTTGACTGCCTCGAGCACCTCCCAGCTTCAGCCTCCAGATCACATGTAAGGTGAGTCTGCTGGTGCAGCAAGGGTCTGGGCACGCACACAGAAGGCACCTCAGGAAAGAGCGCAGCCCCTCCTCTCTCTCTATTGGATCTGCTGTCCCTCTCCTCTCACATGGTAAATATTTTCTCCAGATCATTCATCTTTCAATTTTATTTTTGTGTTGACTTGTTTCTGATTTTTGTGAAGGTTAATTGTTCTTTTGTAATTTAATTATTCTAAGCTTAGGACACTTCAAAGATATATGGATGACAACTAAAATAAGCATATGAAAAGGTGTTCAACAACACTGGTCATTCAGAAAGTTCCAATTAAATGACATAACACATACCTATTAGAATGTCTTAAATTTTAAGAAAAATATTTTTCAGTAATTATAGGCAATAAAGTCTTGTTTTCTGGCTATTTTGTAGTTCGCCTGTTCACTCCTTCCTCTCCTGCTGCTTTCCTTTGTGAATTGATGATTTTCAATAGTGACATGCTTTGACTCCCTTCTCTTATTTTTGTGAATCTACTGTAGGCTTTTCTACTGTAGAGGCTTCCACAAAACATTTGTAGATACATCTTCCGTGAGTCTACTGTAGATTTTTGTGTTGTGTTTACAATGAGGCTTACATAAAATAATTTGTAGACATAAGTCTGTTTTGATGTTGATAACTTCAATCACATGTAAAACCTATCCTTTTACTGCCCTCTTTACATTTTTTATGTCACAATTTAACTTATATTGTGTATTCATTAACAAATTATTTTTTAGTTAAAGTTATTTTAAATCCTCTCCTTTAATCTTCATACCAGAATTAACTGGTTAATGCCACCAATTCACAGTATTAGAGTATTCTGAATCATGCCTACCTTTTCCAGTGTGTTGTGTATTTTTCAAAGGTTTTCGTGTTCCTAATTAGTGTCCTTTCATTTCAGCGTGCAGAGCTCCTTTCAGCATTTCTTGTGTGTCTCATGGTGATGAACTCCCTCAGCTGCTGTCTAGGAGCATCTTCAGCTTTCCATTGTGAAGGACAGCTTTGCTGGATATAGTATTCTTGGTGGCTTTTGTTTTTCTTTCAGCATTTTGAATATATCCCACTCTCTCCTGGCCTGTAAGGTTTCTGCTGAGAAACCCCCATGAGGCTATCAGCTGGCTTTCTGTGTGTGTTTACTAGCTGTCTTCCAAAACTCACTCTGACCACCACCACAGCGGGAGTACGCACAGGGAACCAGCCACAGGATGGTTGGCAGGGGTGTGGTGATACAGAGATACAAGGTGCTGGGAGTGTCCGTGGGCCAGTCAGCGCATCCACGGGCGAGGCATCCCTGGTAGTGGTGTATGTGATAGAGTCTGTGATGTGGTCAGTGGGGCCTTTATCTCTTCAATGCCCTTCAGCATCCTATCTGTCACTCTCCAGCCTCTTCCTGCCTCCCCAGGCTCGCACCTCATGGTTCAGTATTCTAGATGGGGAGAGGGGGAGGGCAAATGACCTGACTAGCAGCACTCTGCACAGCTGAGAAAGCAGGTGCTCACTCAACATTCTTACCTTCCCCTGCAGGAGAAATCATGGGGCGAGAGGATCCCTTGGCCCTGAGCTTGGCTACCTTGAGGAAGGGGCAATGCCGGTAAGTCAAATTGTTCCTCTTATTCTCTCCAGCGCATCCACATTCATATTTTTTTGCTTCAACAGGGTTGGAATTCTCCACTGGAAATTTAGTCTTCCGCAAAGACTCTCATTTATGAGTGAATGCCTAAGACATGTCTGCTGGGGCTCCTGGACCATAGCCAAGAAGGGCTGGAGCCAGTTCTTGGGCCATCACAAGGTCCACAGCTAGGACCAAGGTCTGGATGCCTACTACCTGACCCACTGATGGGCAAGATTTCTGGGTTCATTGGCAGGTGGTGCTGGACCTCAGTTCCCACGGAGTCTCATTTGTCCATGGATGGATGTCAAATTGTTGGTGGTGGTGGAGACACAAACAAGGGACGTCTTATTCAGCCATACTGCTCATGTCAGCTCCTTTCTTCTAATAGAAGCACTTACTGTTATTAATTTCCCTCTCAATACTGCTTTGGCTGCATCCCAGAAATTTTGTTATGTCTTGTTTTCATTTTTGTTCCATTCAGTTTTTTTTTAATTCCCTTGAGCCTCTGTCTCTCACCCATGGATGTTTAGAGGCATGTTGTTCGGCTCCCGAGTGCTTGGAGACACCCCGCTGCCTCCCTGCTGTTGATTTCTAGTTCGCTCAGCACATTTGGGGTTGAATGAGTTCGTATTATGACCCAGTATATGGTCTCTTGGTTTGTACTTTATAGGTGCTTGAGAAGACTGTGCATTTCATTGTTGAATGCAGTATTCTGTGCAATTCTATGAGATCTTGTTGGTTTCTCTTTTCTCTTAGCTGATATTAAAAAGCGATTGTATAAAACAGTATGTATATAATGTATTATTGGGCATATAGGTTACAGAAATGTAAAATACTTGCCAATAACAAAACAAAAGAGGTGGGTGGAATGAAGCAGTATTGGACTAAGGAAATTACTCCAGATGGCAAGTCAGATACAAAAGAACAAATAAAGAGAATTAGAAATGATAAGCAAGAGTTAATATTTTTTATCTCTTTAATCCTATCCTCTTTAAAAGCCATTAAATTACATTAATAGTTACAATGCATTTTGAGTTTGTGACAACTATAGGTGTAATATATATAGCAATAATATAAAACGTGGAGCAGGAATAGAGCTACGTGGGAGCAATGTTTATGTGTCTCACTACAATTAAGTAAGCATAAATCTAAACCTGCTTCTAAAAAGAAGTATAAAGTAAGCCCTAGAGCAACCACTGATGATAAAACTCAGATATACATGTGCATATACATATATATGTGTGTGCATGTGTGTATATTTATTTTAAACTGCTCATGTCAGCTCCTTTCTTCTAATAGAAGCACTTACTGTTATTAATTTCCCTCTCAATACTGCTTTGGCTGCATCCCAGAAATTTTGTTATGTCTTGTTTTCATTTTTGTTCCATTCAGTTTTTTTTTAATTCCCTTGAGCCTCTGTCTCTCACCCATGGATGTTCAGAGGCATGTTGTTCGGCTCCCGAGTGCTTGGAGACACCCCGCTGCCTCCCTGCTGTTGATTTCTAGTTCGCTCAGCACATTTGGGGTTGAATGAGTTCGTATTATGACCCAGTATATGGTCTCTTGGTTTGTACTTTATAGGTGCTTGAGAAGACTGTGCATTTCATTGTTGAATGCAGTATTCTGTGCAATTCTATGAGATCTTGTTGGTTTCTCTTTTCTCTTAGCTGATATTAAAAAGCGATTGTATAAAACAGTATGTATATAATGTATTATTGGGCATATAGGTTACAGAAATGTAAAATACTTGCCAATAACAAAACAAAAGAGGTGGGTGGAATGAAGCAGTATTGGACTAAGGAAATTACTCCAGATGGCAAGTCAGATACAAAAGAACAAATAAAGAGAATTAGAAATGATAAGCAAGAGTTAATATTTTTTATCTCTTTAATCCTATCCTCTTTAAAAGCCATTAAATTACATTAATAGTTACAATGCATTTTGAGTTTGTGACAACTATAGGTGTAATATATATAGCAATAATATAAAACGTGGAGCAGGAATAGAGCTACGTGGGAGCAATGTTTATGTGTCTCACTACAATTAAGTAAGCATAAATCTAAACCTGCTTCTAAAAAGAAGTATAAAGTAAGCCCTAGAGCAACCACTGATGATAAAACTCAGATATACATGTGCATATACATATATATGTGTGTGCATGTGTGTATATTTATTTTAAAATCATTATTTGAGGTTCCTCAAATAGTTAGAAATAGAATTGTTTTATGATCCACTAATTCTTCTCCCAAAAGAATTGAAAACAGGGGCTAAGATACTTGTATGTCAGTGTCCACAACAGTATTATTCACAATACCCCAAATGTGGAAAGAACCCAAGTGTCTATTACAGATTAATAGATTTCTTTCATGTGGTATATACATGCAGTGGAACGTAAGGCCAGTATCATTCGGGTACCAAAAACATGCAAAGACATCACAAGATTTCAACAAGGCTGCTGAGACAAGTGAATGGAGGAAAGAATTGTTTTTTCAACAAGTGGTATTCGGACAACTGGATAACAAGTCATACTTTGCTGGCTCCTGGTCAACAGCAGAAATAGTAATTTATTGTGGGATTTAATAACATGTAGAAGTAAAATGTATGACAACAACAAAGGGAAAAACTGAAGTATAATGTGAATATTACTTGAAGGGAAACAGACGTAAGTTGATTATGGATACTGTAAACTTTAGTGCAGCCACTAGAAAGAAAACAAAACAGACTTCTGGTCACTAAGTCCACAGTGGAGATCAATGATATTATAAAAAAATACACCATTCATCCAAAATAAGGCAGGGAAAGACATAAAATACAGATGGGAGAAATGATGATAAATAACAAAGTGGTAAATTCAAGTCCAGGCCAGTCCATACTCATATTATATATAAATGGCCTAAACACGCCCCCCACCCCCCGACTAAAGGGCACAATTTTCAGAGTAGACGTAAAGAGCAGCCAACTTCTCTATACGCCGCCCGTAGGAAACTCTCTGTGAGACGGGTAAGGGTGGTGCTCAAATTGTGAATATAATTAACACCACTGAACTGTGTGCTTAAAATGACTAAAAATTATGTTTTATGTACTTTAATACAACAAAAAAAATAGGAAAATAAGCCACGGTAACAGTGCAGAAAAGAATGAACATAGCAGGCCTGACTGCTCTGCTTTGATAGCATCTTACAAGGTCGGCCCCGGCGTCTGGAAACTCAGATTTCAGGAGCATTCCCATCATTAACTGGTAGCGGTGGTTACTATGCCTGAACTTCTTATACAAACAGTATGGTTTATTCTGAACACTTGCTTTCCTTCTGGCATTCTGGGATTTGGTTATGTGCCAAGCAGAGTTGTCTATCATCCCCAAATAAAAACCCTGGGCATTTAAAGCTCGACTTCCTTGGTAGGCAACATTTCACAAATGTTGTCACAACTTCTTGTTGGGGGAATTAAGCTTATTCTGTGTGACTCCACTGGGAAAAGGACTTCAAAACGTTGTGCCTATTTTCCCTTAAACTTCACCCCCATGCACTTGATTTATAGATTAAATGCATTCCTAACCAAACGTCAATTAACTCTTTTTGAGAAACTAATGCTGTAACTTATATGAAATACAAAGGAATTGGAATAGCCAAAGAACTCTGAAAAAAATATAGTTGGAAGACCTACACCATGTGATTCTGAATCATTTTAAAGCTGGGGCACTAAGATGGTATGATATTTATACAAAACATAAATAGATGAATGGAATAGAATAGGGAATCTGGAAATAGAACCAAAGGTATATAGTCAGTTGATTCTCAACAAAGCTGTCAAGGTAATTCAATGAGGGACAGCATAATATTTTCAACAAATAGTGTTGGAGCCATCTGACATCCATATATTCTGTAAGGAATATTTTCTGGGACATTTTTTTCTTTTCTTTTTTCTTTTCCCCCTTTATCCTCTTTTGAGAGTCAGCTATTTAAGGATTAGGCCATTCAAAACCAAACATGTATATAGGAGAATTTAGAATGCCACCATGCAAGCCTAGGAAAACATAAAGACTCAGAAAAAACCTAAGAAGATCTCAGGCTCATCTCCAGCACAGAGACACCCTTTAGCAATTAAAAGAGAGAGAAAGCAGATTCTGGGAAAAGGGGATAGTCTGATGTCTAGAGTTCACATTGTAAAATTCAGATGTCCAGTTTTTAATAACAAGTAATCACAAGCATACAAAGAAATAGGAAAGTATAGCCCACTTAATGGAACAAAATAAATTGCCATAAACTGTCCGTGAGGAGCCCTAGTTGTCAGATTTACTAGACGAAACTTTAAAAACAACTTTCTTAAAGATACTCAAGAGAATTCAAGGATAGCATAGAAAGACAGGAAAATGATGTATGAACAAAATGAGAATACCATAAATAGGTAGAAATCATTAAAAAAGAATCAAACTCTGCAACTGAGAAGTACAATAACTGAAGTGAAAAATTCACTGGAAGATTCAAAAGCAGAATCTGAGCAAGCAGAAGAAAGAACCTGCAAGCTTTAAGATAAGCCCACTGAAATGATAAGAGTGAGGACACAAAGAAAAAGGGGAAAGAGAAGAGAACCTACCTGACAGGTGTGGTGTGACCGAACCGCCCACCGCACAGCGTGAGCCACGTGAAGAGGGAACACGAGAAAGAAGAAAGAACATCGGAGGGAACAGTGGCTGAGAATTCCCCAAATTTGATGTAAAACGTGAATCCACAAATCCAAGAAGCTCAATGAATTCCAACGAGAATAAACTAAAACAACAACAAATAATGATGATAACAAGACACACTGTAGTCCAACTACAAAAAGCTAGAGACAAAGAATCTCGAAAGCAGCAAGAGGGAAGAAGCTCACCACAAAAAGGGATCCTCAAGGTCATCGTGATTTCACATGAGAAATCCCAGAGGCCAGAGACAATGCCTGATACATTCAGAAGCTGAAAGAAAGAAAAAGCTCTTGGCCATGAAGAGACAAGTGCACAGAAAGAATTACTCATCTGTGGTATCAACACAAAATATACAAATATGTAATTTGTGACATCAATAACAGGAGGGGGAGTGAGCTGTATTTAAGTTGGTGTAAGTTCAAATTAGATTGTTCTAATTTTAGGATATAAAACTCAATCCCCATGGTAGTGACAAAAAAATACACAAAAGGAAATGAGAATAGACTAAAAACCTCATACAATAAGTATCGATTAGTAATGGAGGGAACGAGGTACGAAAAAAGTAAGACATAGACAAAATAGCAAAATTCCTTATCAGTTACTACTTTATGTAAGTGGATTCAACTCTACAGTCATGACAGAGATAAACAATGGATTAAAACACATGATCCAACTATATGCTTCCTACAAAAGACCCACTGAAAGTAAAAAGACAGAAAAAGATATTCCCAGCAAATACTAAAGAAAAGAGAGCTGGAATATACTAATACCAGATAAATAGACTTCAAATCAAAAAAGATTATCAGAGACAAAGATACCATAGATACACCATTTATATACCTAGTAACAGACCCTCAAAATATATGAAGCAAAAACTGACAGGACTGAAGGGGGAAATAGTCTACAATAATGCCTGAAGACTTCAACAGCTAACTTTCAGTAGTGGATAGAACAATCAGACAGTTGATAAATAAGGAAATACAGGAGTTGAACAACACGTTTAACTAACTAGACCTAACAGACATAAACAGAACAGTCTATCCAAAACAGTAGAATATACTCTCAAGAGCACATGGGAAATTCTCTAGGATAGACCATTAAGTTAGGCCACAAAGAGAGTCCGTACAGTTGGTATAAGAAAGATACCATACAATGTATGTTCATTTACAATAACAGGATGAAGTTAAAAATCAGTGACAGAAGGAAAAGTGGAAAATTCACATACATATAGAAATTAAACCACACACTCT